CGTACACAATTTAGCAAAATCAGACAATATTGTGTCTAATATATACCACAATACTAACTTCTTATTATTGAATTGTTTTAAATAAATATCACATTTGCAATTGGTCAGTGTTCAAAAAATGCTGGGAAATCACTTCATGTAGCCCTACAAGAGTGATTACTGATAAACTGTCTGAAAAAAAGAAAGTCATGCTTTAGAGAAAAAAAAAATCACCCACTGACTTTCAGATCTGCTACATAGTAACGACTTTCTACTTCGAGGACCTTGATAGAAATGTAGTGGAGTAAAAAGTACAATATTTGTCTTTCAAATGTAGTAAAGTTACAGTAATAAGTTCCCAGAAAAAAAATTATACTCAAGTAAAGTACCAATACTCAAAAAGTGTACTTAAGTACAATACTCAAGTAAATGTACTTAGTTACTGTCCGCCTCTGATTTCAAGTATACTTAGTATGAAATTAATGTATTTTAAATAAATTATGCCATAGATTTTATTTTTTTTACTAGGGTCTTTCCTCAAAATATCTGAGAGTCATGCAAAGTCATTACAAAGTGATGCTTATTAAGTAAAATGTTATCAAGAAGTATGTGAAATTTGATAATATTTTTTTTAATTAATAATATTTTTGAAAAAACAAAGCTATATTAAATAGTAAAATAAAATAAACATTAAATGTAACGTTCAGGTATATACTTCTATACATCAATTATATATTTTTAAATGACATTATTATATTGTTATATTATTTTAATGACCAAAAACCTGAAAGAGGCACTAGGCATGTCTTTTTTATCATAAAGATTTAGATACAATAAGAAAAGACAATGCAGAAAAATATTGTTGTTTAATGGGCTGATGAAATTAATTCTACTTTGGAAGACTGTAAACTACTTTGTTCCTATATAATGTGAAGTCAGCAGAAGTAAAAGATGAAGATTATTACTGAGGGATGACATAATCAAATTTATTGATGAAATATGCATTGCAATCAGTGTAATCAACTTAAGGCCTTTTTGTAATTAGACTTGCTGACCAAATTATGACTGATTATGATTGATAAGAGTTAAATTAGTAAATTAAAACCCATGAAAAAAAATTACAGAAGGAGGTACTAACATTTTTTTTAAATTTTTTTTTTAATCACTGCCATCTTGGTCCTGTTGTCTGGTCAAAGCCTCAGGAGTATATGAGCAAGAGCAACAGTATTACTAATAAGGGATGTTTGCAGGCACCTAATGATTCTTTGTTGCTTCCTCATAAATCACACCAAGACAAACGTAGCTGCAAAAGACTGTAAGTACAGTGCGTCCTCATGTTCCTGAGATGGTATAACATACTGTAACTGGGCCACCTCTATATCAATGACCATCTGGCTCTGAGCCTCTGGAATATTTTCCCTTCCCCCACTTCCTCCACCCACGACAACAGCTCTATTTTCGTTACCACCCCCAACCCAGACTGTCGCTATTTCCCACGACACCTTTCTGCCTGTCACCTCCATGTATACATTTTATATAATGGACACTTCCCCATG